TCCACAAAGCATAAATCTTGCTTACTTATCAAGTTCTAAATGCATTATTAATTATCAGCATACTCTATTAAACTGGGAGGAAAATACATTTCTGTAACTTCTCAGCAAAAAGGCAAAATCAATTTGCCTCAAGTACTCCTCAAAGGCTTTTAGTCTCAGAGAACAACCTACATTTCCTCAGTCCAGTAATCCAGTTACCTTGAATGGTACATGAAATCAGGACATTTGAGAGATGGAGACATTAAGAGATCATTAGCCCAACATCCTCATTGTACTGATGAGATACTTCAGAACCAAACTGATGAGACACGTGTCCTCTCTGGTGATAGTGCGCTAGACACATCTTTTGCCTGGTTTTCCAGTCCATCTTTCTCAGACAACATTCCTCCTTCCTCTGTTATAGTCACTGATCAAATGACACGCAAGCCACTGGATTTCAAACTGGAAGAGAGGATCTTGGTGTTGGTGGCAAGAGCCAGAAAAATGTTTCTGGCTGTGTGTTTGGTCGCCAGATTTTCATTGAGCAGTGTTGATATGGCTGATGTGTTTGGGCAAAGATCTGAGGGGCACTTCTGCTACTGTGGCTCGGACTGTTTCCTTAAGGCTTTTGGCAGCTAATCAATGGACTGATTCCATTAATTCAAGGATAAGGGCAAGGATCTTCTGGCCTTGGCAGTGACTTTTGAATTCCCTGTATAAATCCATGTTTTAGATTTGGAGTGGGAGGAGTTGGGGAATTTGCTGGTGGCAGGAAACTTGGTAGTGTTCAGTTCTGGCAGTTTAAGATGATTTAACACAGCCAGGTTCTGTTTTGCATGCTTTTTCCCTCTCTCATTGAACCTGTATGAGAAAATGCTGAAGAATGCTCTCCCCACTCCTACTCCAAGTAATTCGGAGCTGTGTAAAACTACTGTCCTGAACACTTAAGAGTTGCAGGTTGTTTGACCTCTTTTGTTTATATATAGAGAAATATATTATGAATATATGATGTATAATAAGTAGGTACTAAACTAATATACAACAAATATACATCACTATATAACAAATTAATATACATGATTTCTCATATCCCCTATAACAAATGTACCTATTTGACCAGACTGTTAAAGCCCCTATGCCAGGTGCTTGTACTAGGTATTCAGAAGCACTTTCCTGGACTCTATATATGCCTTCTCCTGGCAGTGCAATGACAGAAGAGTAGCCATGGGGCTGAAATCTAGCAGACCTATTTTGTTTTTGTTGTTTTTTCTTTTGAGTTCTTTTCTGTCACATACACACAAATAAAAACTAGATTTTTTTTTAATTGGAAAATGAAGTTTAGTAAATAAAGTTTAGCCTGTGAGCATTTCTTTTGTGGTTTTTTGGGGGGTGTCATGTTTTCATGGGTGCCATGATGGAAATCTTAATTTTTTATGAGTGGCAGAATTTGGATCTTTTCAGTGTTCTTTTGAAAATCAGATTGTTCAGCTGTCTTTATTAACATTAGAAGATCTAGAATAATTCTTTTTGCTCCTGAACCAAGAAACAGTGATTTTTAAAAAATAAATCTAAGTACTGTTGTGCCTTATGCACATCAGCTAGGTAAATACTTCCTATGAAACAAAATAGTTGGTTGTGCGTGCATGTTTTAGGGAGAAAATCCTGGGCTTCACACATACTAGGCAAGTGCTCTATTACTGAGCTACACTCCCATCCCAAAAATTGGTTAGTAGGTTTTGTTTTTGTTTTTTAAATTGAGAGTTGTGTTTCTGGGCTTGTTTATTTCTTGGAAACACCAAAGTGCTTCATAAAATACCTGTAGTCTTAAGATCTCCAGCATGTTTTCAAGTACTTTCTTTTACCTTTTTTGCAAGAATAAGGATGAAAACTTCAGGTATTAGAGAGTGGCAATCAGAATGTTATTATAATTTTATATTTTCAAAAGCCAGAAGTTAATAGTGTTTTAGTAGGCAAATGGGTGTGGTCTGTAAAATACACATATATAGAAAGGAAGATGTGCTAAAATGATGTATCAGTACATTGTGATGGGAGTCAGATTTTTTTTTTAAGCATTCAATTCAGTGTGACATAATCTGTGACTGAGCAAGAGCCCTTGTAACTATTTCATTGTTTTTGAATTTTTTTTTCTTTAATGAGTTTCCCTTTATACTGATGGTGATATATAGAAAACAGAAGTGTTGGTTGCAGGTCATGATTTTGGTGATGGAAGTAGGGCAAGCTCTCTTGCCTGAAATATGAATCAGAGTCTTGACATTGTCTTTTATAATTTACTAGTTTTTAAAATGGAGTGCTTTGCTTATGAAGCTTCAGGGAAACAAGAACAATAAAATATACAATTAATTAAAATCTTTAGAACAACCAGCAACAACATTAATAAAACATTACCCTCTAAAGCACTTAAGAATTGCAGCTTACTTTCCCATCTTACTGGGAAAAATAGGATAAAAGTCTTTCATCATAGTCAATAAACTGAGTTTATTGGACTTGGGCTGGTAGATTTTTCAAAGAAATAGGCTCTGAGCCAGTATCCCACTCTACCCTATATGAAACATCTGGGTTATGAATAACCATTGCCTGCCTTTATTTACCACTTCATTTATATATTCTTATTTAATCCTCACAAGAACTCTGCAGGATAGATGTTAAGATTTCCATTGTATAGATGAGAAAACAGAGACAGGCATAAGTTGTAGAAGTGTTTCTCAAAGTGTAGTCTTTGGATCAGCAGCATCAGCAGGAGGTTCTTAGGCAATTCAAAGACCACCCCCCTCCACCTCCTTATTCACTCATCATTTGTAGGAGTGGAGCTCTATAGTCATTTTTTATTTTAAAGAAAAAGTCTCCAGGTTATTCTTATACATGCCAAAGTTTGAGAACAATTGGATTACAAGACCATGTGTTATAATACTGTATTAATTGGAGCAGAATTTGAGACCTGTTGTATTGGATTTTGCTATTCACAGGGAACATCTCTAAGTTGGCCTCCCAGAACCACATAGCTTTCAGGATTACCTTAGGTTGATCTCTTTTTCAATCCTTAGGCTCTGCCTTTCCAAATAATTGCTCTGTCTACTGCATGTACAAAAGGAAACAATTTAAAACAGGAATAACTTTACTCTGGTCTCTTTCCCTTTTATACCATCATGTCTGTTTCCAGAAGATTCCTTTGAAGTGAGATAAGACTGGTTCTGGTTATGCCTTGTGAACACCCCTGGAATCATTTATGAGTTTTGCTGTGCTTACTTCTGTGTATTCACAGGGATATTCTGGTGTTAGATATATAAGTTCCAAACTAGCTGATTAATAGAATAGTACCTATTTCATCTGGAGTCAGTTCTGTAATGTTGGTACTGTATGGTAAAGTGTGCCAACAAACCACAGCACTTGGTTATTATATATACTGCTTTTACCACTTAGTGGTTGCCTGACTTCTCTGAGTTGTGGTTTTCTTAATTAAAAATTACAGATGATGGTGTGATGTAGATTATATTTAGTTCTTTGTAAATACTTTGGAAACCATTGGGTGCTGTACAAATGTGAATTCATGATCTGGAATGTGTTGAAGAACAGCTTCTGGGCTTGGGTGTCATAAGACATTTAGGGATGAACTGAGTTGTCTTCTCCAAGAGGATGACTGGGTTTGTCAAATGAGCCTCTCCAGAGAAGGGAGGAGTCGAGTGTGTGGAAAGGACCTCACACTTTGCACTAACCCAGGCTTGGCTTGATCATGCTAACTGATCTCTCAATTCCAGCTATAAAAATGGATGTCAGAAGACCTCAGTATAAAGGTTGTGAGGCTGGAGTTGAAGACAGAGAATTGAATTGAGAGTCAGTGGTATATCATTGAACGCTAAACAGCCCTGAAATAGGAAGCAGTCCATCTGGGAAGAAATTGTAGAGGAGGAAATAATAGGGCTGAAAGGAAGAGCCTTGGGTGAGGAATTTTGCCCTCCAGAGCTCTGGCGCTGACAGCTCATGGCATAAGTGAGTCTCTGGGAGGCCCACTTATTCTAGCCTCCAGTTCCTTCTTAGTCTTCTTTATAGAATGACGAGAAGCCACAGAAACTTTGCTTAAGAAAGTGCTTTCTCAGGGTTCCAAAATCACCTGACCACAGGCCCAGATAACTGCTGGTGGGTGGTGGTCTAGGCTTATTGAAAGTGTGTCTGCCCGTACTGTGCAACACACACTCTCTCTCAGTGTGTGTGTGTGTGTTGGTGGGGAAGAATTGGCAAAATGAAGAACTTGTTCTTTTGAAAGGGGCAGCTGTAGGATGCTTCTGTGGATTATTGTACCATGGCAGTGTGAATCTGGAATTATCCAGACATCTGACTTTTGAAGAGAAATCTGAATCGTTCGTGTGTGTGTGTGTGTGTGTGTGTGTATGTGTGTGTGCGCGCGCGCGCACGCGCGCTTTCCAGTTTTTCTCATGTTGGTAGAATGGAGAGGGAAAAGTTTTTTTGTGGCCCAAGTAACACATCTGTGGTCCAGATTTGGATATAGATTGCCAGCTGGTGGCCTCTGCTGCAGAGTGTTCTATAAACATGACCGGTTATTATTGGATGTCTTAGAATTTATAATAACCTCCCAGGAGCCTTTATGCTGGGGCCCTTCTAGGAATACATCTGTGTTTTCTTTGCTACCCTTGAAACTACTCATGTGCACCCCCTTTCCCCAATAGACCAGGCCTGTTTTGATGCAGACTCCAGGGACTTTTAAGTCTGTGCTGCATAATTTGGAGAGCTTCTAAGTCCAGGTGTGCAGGAATGCTGGGGAGCTGCATCTCCTTTGAGGGCAGATTTGGGAAAGTGGACTTACAGTTTTTACTCCACTTCCTAGAAGGTCAAGGCATAGACTGTTTGCTGCTGAACAGTAACTCAGTGCCTTTTGCATTTACTGAGCCACCCAGATAAAAATGACCCATTGCATACCTGTAGATTGTATGGATCTTCCTTAGAAATTGTGTTACTGATTTTTTTTTTTTTTTCAATTTGCTTTACAGAAAAGAGAGTTTGATGTGGACACCCTCAGTAAATCAGAGCTGCGGATGCTCCTCAGCGTGATGGAAGGGGAGCTGGAGGCCAGAGACCTTGTCATCGAGGCCCTGAGGGTAAGAATATGCTAGAGCCAGTTCTCCTTGCTGTGCCACTTTTCTTAAGGGCCAATGGCAGAGCTTCTTTTTCTTAATTTTTGAACCAAAATAGATTTTAAAAGTTTCATCAGGTTAATATGTTCTACTTACCCCAAATACCAATCTATAACCTTCATAATCCAAACAAACTCTGAGGTCAGATGACCTTTGAGATGATCAGGACTGAGAATAGACTATTGAATATGGGAAACTTGGGAATCAGTTATATTAGATCAGAAACCCTTTTATGCTTTACACATTTGTTTGGTTAAAAACATACATTCAGCTGGGCTCTGGTGGCTCATGTCTGTAATCCTAGCTACTCCGGAGGCAGAGATTAGTAGGATCGTGGTTTGAAGTGGTTTAAAGCTAGTCCCAGGGCAAATAGTTCACAAGACCCTATCTCGAAAATACCCATCACAAAAACGGGCTGGTGGAATGGCTCAAGGTGTTGGCCCTCAGTTCAAACCCTAATCCTAAATATATACATACATACATCTATGTATATATATTTTTATTTTATATATATGTATTTATAGAAAATTAATAATTTGGTATCCTGCATGTATATGACAACTGTGAGGAAGAAGTAAGAGAATAATTTATAAAAATATTACTGATAATAATCTTTTCCTTACTATATATAAATTAAAGTTGACTTTTTTATTTCCAGAAACTTAGAGTTAAAAAGTAAATGTTTATATGCTTATATCTCCAAATAGTTTTATTATTTTTATCTGATATTATAGTAATTTAAAAATATTTTCATAATTAAATTACAAAGAATATATTAAGTTCATCAATTAAGTTTTATTAGAAAACAGCAATGTTAAACTTTCTTGATGCAGTTTTCTAATTGGGAGTTCCAGATCTTGTACTTGCTTTGGTATGTGAATCAAATGTAAGTTTGTGTCTGTGTTTTTCCTTTTATATCCAATACTTTGTATATAATCAGGTTATTTCCTGACTCTCCATCATTTGGTCAAGAAGCTTATATTTATGTGAATTTATCTTATTTCACCAGGCAGTATTTCCTCAAACATTGTCCTAGGGAGTTTATCGTAATATATGAAAATCTGACAAGAGCTTAAATGGTGAAGAACAGGGGTAGGAGTGGTAGCCAGTCAGATATGGTGGAGAAGGTAGACAAGGTGAGAACCTAGTCCTGTGGGAAAGGGAGATAGTTCTTAACTCATATCTGTGGTATATTTTCACAAACTGAAAGTTAATATAGTAGGTATATGACTACCCCTCAATTTGATGACCAAGAAAAATTCCCTCAGAAAAATAACAGTATAATTATACCATCAATACTTAATATTGAATGAAGGTATTGCTTTTTGAGTAAGTTTTATTAAGGAGTCATTTCCAGAGTTTGGTTGTAAGAGTTGTTCGTCCTGTTCCACATCAGAAAAAAAGTTCTTGGATGAAATTTTTGAGAGAAATGTTGAGATAGTATATCACTTAAATATGTGACCCTCAACTCAAAAGACAGAATAAGGATGCAGTCGCTGGCTGAGACTTCAAACAGAAGTGAAGGGTTCCAGCTCTACCTTAGGGGTTTTATTCTCTGTTAACCTATGAAAGGCATAAGCACTGTGGAATTCCCCACTGCTCACATAAATGTTTGAACTATTTATTAGAGACCGTTTTTGTGGATAGCTTCAGAAACCACACGTATTTCTCTGTTTAATTTAATTGCAATTCTTTCAAATGTAAGATTAGAGGTAGAGACTTGCTAATGGTCAAGACTTGCCAAAATTAATGTTTTGTACAGAATCAAGGAGTGTTAGAATTGCAAGAACCTTACATGATTTGCATCCTTATCAAATCTAGTTCCTCATTTTGCCCTTTACTATTCTGCCATGAAATATATGGATAATTGCATATGTAAGTAGATCATGTTAAAAAAGAAAACCCAGTACATTGCCATAATATATTGTGATATAAAGATCACAGGAAAATAACTTATGATAAAATATGTTTTTCCACATATAAATTGCTCAGCTTTGACTATACTGGAAGATATAATAAAGTAGATGGCTATTTGCACTTATTCATAGTGTTGCCATAAATGCAGCAGTTACAAAACAGTCCTGATCCCAGTGGGCCATAGTGTTGGCTCAGCTACAGTAAGGTGATTTTTCTGAAGTGGAGTGGTGAAAGACTTCCGGTAAAGTACCAAACAAAAGTGCACATTTACTTGGGAGTTGAATCCCTGGAAGACTCTGTTTGTTGAAACAACTCGTTTATAGGTTAAAAAGGCGTTCCTTTCTTGTCTCAGATGGTCATATCGAAGGGTCTAATGAAAGGAACAAACAAAGGGACATTTGAAAGTATTGGGGGACTTGATAAAAATGAGGCAAACCAAAAGGAAGCCCAAATTGCTGGTGACCTACCCAAGGTCACAAATGTGGCAGGTCAAACTAAGAACCTTCCAGGTCCATTTTTCACACAGCCTCCCTTGTGGAACTTGGGGTAAATGGAGAATATTTTTAAAGGTTTTTCTTAATTTTTAAAATTGAGATTTGTGACTTAATTAAATATTTAGATGATTGTATATTTTAAGAATAAGAAATAATGTCGCCAGGCACAGGTGGTTCACGCCTGTAATCCTAGTACTCAGGAGGCAGAGATCAGGAGGATCCCAGTTCGAAGCCAGCCTGGGCAAATAGTTCATGAGACCCTATCTCGAAAAACCCTGTCATGAAAAACTGGTGGAGTGGTTCAAGGTGAAGACCCTGAGTTCAAGCCCCAGTACTGCAAAAAAAGAAAGAAAGAAAGTCATTTTCATCTACTTGTGGTAGCCTGCATAGACTCACTGCAGTGATTTACTGACTGTGTCTTCCCTGGGCACTCAGTGGTGCTAATCAAATATTTACATGGGTCCAAATGTGTCACTCAGTGCTCTTTTCTTTAGGAGTATGGTATGATGTAATTTAGTGGTTAATGCCCCAGGAAGAAATTGGAATCGGTGTGCTGCCATTTAACTAAGGAGGGTATGCACTTTTTTCAGGTCAGAAGTGATATTTCTTTGAATAAACACTTTTAACCTAAATATATGAGTTGAATGGTACCTAACTTGTATCCTGAACTCTGTTACAGCTAGAGATGGTTCTGTTATTAAAGATTCATTCAAATTCTTTAACATTTAAAAATTTCTCAAAATACGTTTCAGACCAAACTGTTTTACTACTTAAAGCACGTGTTCTAATGCTTTTGTTTTCATGTTATAAAAATTGCATAGACCTTTGAATTGACAGCAATAGTCTTTTCAGAATAGTCTGTAAGTGTGATTTTGGTCCAAGTCTGTGATGAGATTATAATGTATCTCTTGAAACATTTACTATTTTCATATGTTGAAGAAAAAAATACTTCCCAGTATAAAAAGTCCACAGTTTTATAATAAACACAGTGTTCAACATTTTAAAATTTTTGTTTGTACTGGCGGTACACTGTGACATTTACAAAAGTTCTTACAGTGTATCATGATGTGTTCAACATTTTTTGACAGTGTCTTGCTTCATCGCCCAGTCTGTCTGCAAATCTATAATCCTTCTGCTTCATTCATTCACCTGAGTACTGGGATTACAGGTGTGCACCACTGTGTCTTGTTAACATATAATTTTTATTAGTGGGAAAATAATATTTTAAAAGGCAGTATGATAAAGATGAATTAACATGGGTCATAACACGTGTACATGAAAGCAGTGCTAGGAATATTTCTGTATAGCTATCCTCAACTCAACTAGCAAAAACGCCTTGTCTTCCTTATTTGGCTTGTGTCTTTTCTTCAATAAAACTAGTGATAAAGGCAGAACAGGACTTGCCTGGAACTGAGGGAAGCGGTGGTGGGTGGGGGGGCAGGGGAGAGAAATGACCCAAACAATGTATGCACATGTGAATAAATGAATAATTAAAAAAAAAGAATAATAAGTGATGGAGAAGGTTAAAAAAAAGCAATATGAATGGAGAATCTGAATCGAATAACTAAAATTCATTTTAATTTAGACTCGGGAAGTATTTTGCCAGTGATTGCCCATCATTTACACAAGATAGGAGTACATCTTTAAATAAGCATGTATGCTCAAATGAAGTCTGGAGAAAAATGTTATGAAGTTTAAGAGAGACTGTGCTTAAGTAGCTACATTATCTGAAAACCAAGATAGGCACAGAGCCTTTTCAGTTAAATTAATTTAATTCAGATCCAACTATGCAATTTTATTCAGGAATCAGTGATTCAAAGTTAATTTATTTTCAGTGTGTGGACTCTTTGGCCTTTATTTCTTTTCCCCTCCCATTACTGGTATTCTTATCTTAGTCACGGGGAGAAGAAAAAAGATGATGAAAATGCTATAACTATAAAATTTTTAAAGTCAAAATTATGTGTTTTTGCCTACATTTTATAGAGCCCAGTTTGTCATTAGCATGAATTTACATAAATACATGATTGAAACAATGACTTCCTCTATCATTCATCTTCAGATTTCCTCCGTGCCTTCTTTTTCCTTTTAGATAGAGGAGAATTGACTGTGTTGAAGCCTGAAATTCTTCCTTCTAAACTTCATAGGTAGACTGTATAATCCAGATTTTCAATTACTGTTTGCACTGAATTTTAAAAGTTAGCCAGTTTAACATTTCTCCAGATAGAATGCATTTATAGCTCTGGTAACATTGGTGACAATTAAAGAATTGCCTTGTACAAGCAACTGCACAAACAACTGTAGCAAAGAGATCCAAAGTACAGCAGAAGTTTATTTATAACTCTCATAACATTGTGGAGGTGAGTGATCGCAGCTGGAGAGGCAGCTCTAAGCCAAGTAGTCACTCAGCAGCCCAGGTTATTTTTGTGTTACTTCTCTCCTAGTGAAGCTGGCCTCATCTTCATGCCTGAAGCTGGATCAAGGCCACTTTTGCATCCCAGTGTATGGTGAAGGGGAAGGAGAGGTGGTGAAAGCAGTCAACTTGCTCTAAACATG